CCATTTCTATCACATGAAGTATAATGTTCCTTACTCCTGTTTCAGTATCTACCCCTGTAGTATAATGTTCCTTTCTCCTGTATCCATATCTACCCCCTGAAGTATAATGTTCAAGGAGAATGGAATAGAAATATTTGTGTGCTGTACAATTACCACTGTACAATAACCTATTCTGAATATTTCTTATACAAATGATAGGGCGGGTCGCGTCAGTTGTATCTTCCTTCAATTCTATACCCCTTGATAATGTTCCTTACTCCTGTTTCTGTATCTACCCCTGAAGTACAATGTTCTCAACTCCTGTATTCGTATCAATCCCCTGAAGTATAATGTTCCTTAATCCTGTATGCGTATCTACCCCCTGCGCTACCCCCTGTAAAACCTGGTATTGTTTTGTGTATATCATGGCTTGGCAACAGTCAGGTTCTTTTTACCCTTCTAACTTTTTATATATTTAATCATTTTCCTGGTGGAATAGATTGCAACGGGATAGGGGGGCCAAGGAAGGGGCAGGGGTGGGGGGTAGACGGGGAAAAGGTGGCATTAGAGGGTTGGACATGAGTGGCAAAGCTGAGAGAGGGGGGCACGAGAGATACATGTGTTGGGTTGGACGAGAGCAAAGCTCCGAGGATGGGATACAGGACAGTAGTTTGTATCCAGGGATTAGACTGGAACAAAGCTAGACAGGAGGTTACAAGAGATGCTTTAGATGTATCAATGGGTTAGATAGGAGCAAAATTAAAAAAAAATATATACAGGAGAGGGATGCATGTGTCGTATCAAGGGGTTAGATAGGAGTCAAGAATGATACAGGAGAGAGGCATGTGTTACATCAATCAAGTGGTGTTAGATAGGAGCAAAGAATAGAGAGGATGAAACAGGAGAGATGCATGGGTTTTATAAAGAGATTATGACCAGAGCCAATTCATTTTGGGGTTATCGGGGGAATACATAAAAGGAAGTATTCGCAAAAAATGAAAGGGGGTATGGGTTGATGTCGAATTGAATTCTATTTAAATCAGCTCATTCAGATATTTCATAGTTTCATTTTTCGCGAACATTTTTGCACCAACGTTTTTCGCCGAAGAGGTTCAGGAAAGCAAATTTAAGAAGAAAAGTAAGGTTTCTTGATTTACAAGAAGTATCTTTGGGTTTAAATGGGAAGCATGGCAGTTTTCTAGGAAACCAAGGGATTTTCAAAGGTTAGTATAATAAAAGTTATGAAGTAGGATTTAGTTTGCCCCTCCCCCTCTCTTCTCTCAGCTCTCTACTGTTGAATGTTAAAGGATACAGTGAACAATGTTTACTTTATATTTTGTGTATTCTTTGTATTCCCGGGCCAGAGTCAATAGTCAGCACAGTTATATAACTGTATTATAGTAAATTAATATAGTATACTTTCTCATGTATCACAGATATACTACTACTCTAATCCTCTCCATTCTGATCCTCTCTCTACTATAATCCTCTCTCTACTCGAATCATATAATCTGATCCTCTCTTCTCTAATCGTCTCTACTCTTATCCTCTCTGTTATAATCCTCTCTATTCTAATCCTCTCTACTCTAATCCTCTCTACTCTAATCCTTTCTACTCTAACCGCCTCTACTCTAATCATCTATTCTGATCCTCTGGTATAAACCTCTCTACTCTAATTCTCTTTATTCTAATTCTCTCTGATCTAATCCTCTCTACTCTAATCATCTCTACTTTAATCCTCTCTACTATAATCCTATCTACTCTAATCCTCTCTACTCTAATTCTCTTTACTCTAATTCTCTCTAATCTAATCCTCTCTACTCTAATCATCTCTACTCTAATCCTATCTACTCTAATCCTCTCTACTCTAATCCTCTCTACTCTAATCCTCTCTACTCTATTCCTCTCTACTCTATTCCTCTCTAGTCTGATCCTTTATACTCAAATCCTCTCTACTCTAATCCTCTTTGTAATATTCTAATCCCCTTACTCTGATCCTTTAGCAGTGAATCTCTCTTCTCTTACTATCTCTACTGTGATCCTCTATGTGATCCTCTCTATGTGATCCACCCTCTGTGATCCACCCTATGTGATTCGTTAACTGTAGTCTCCTCTACTATGCTTCTGTCTACTCTGATCCTTTCTGACTCCAATTGATCCTGTACCGTAGAGCCGATGTTGTCTCCCAGAGTGTACATTTTTAAGTCTGAATATGTGAAGAGATAAACGATCCTGTTTCCTCTGTAACCTGAACCCTGAATCCTCGAGTAGAGGATTATAATTTTATGAAGAAGGATGAGATTGAATTGAATATCAGGGTGTAATGTGTATACATAGATCATTGACAAGCATATTTTTCAGACAATACATTTTTTCAGGTGTTTCGATTAATTTGTTTTAAAAATAATACAGGTCCTTCAAAGATGCACAATATTTTCAGCTTCAGGTTTTTGCACTAATATAAGAATAATTTTAGAAATCTCCACCCTCCCCCACCCCTTCACCTCCTTTCATCCAGGAGGCACTCCTCGCCTTCAAAACTTCCTAGTAAGAAAACCTTATTTTATTGAAAAGGTTGTTGCTAGGGTATGCACTATGAACTGTTTCTACCCGAACTCGAAAGTATTATGCAACACGATAAACAATTTTACATCGTGTTAAACCTCTTGTATATGTCATGAATGTTAATTCATTCTTTATCCTCTTAAACTTGATAAGGATTTGTACAATATGTACTGCAGTGTACTGTAAACTGTAATTTATGCTGTATGATGTAAATTATGTATATAGCAAGTATTTGGCCTAAAAGTGTGTTGTGAAAAGCTCAGAGATTTAGTCTTTTCACGTCAGAGAAAATTCTTAAAAATCCAATGATATGGTTTTCACAAATTTCATTTTTCGGTGAAAATGCCTGTAAATAAACGTACCTCTCTTCATATAGAAAATTTATTTTCATTTTGTGCAGAAAAATTAGGCATAAATACATATGGATGGAGCTTAGCTGGTTCTCAATTACTGATATTCACGTTATAAATCTTAACTTGGGAGTAAACCTCCTAAATCATTATTAACTTTTAAGTGGTGCATTTTATACTCATAATGCCACCCCCCCCCCCCCTTTAACCGCAGAAGGGGGAGAGACTGGCGGTGGGGTAGGCTAACAATTATTCTTTGCATTTGGAGGTGATCAGGGGGGGGATTGGCGTTTGCAGAATGGGTTGATGAAAAGGGGGGGGGGTCTTGAGTGCATTTTATATGTTTTCCTAATAACAGGCTCTGACGAATCCAGTTTTACTGATTTTTCTGTGAATTTTCAAATTATTGAATGTTTAGCTCCTGCAACCCGGCCCTAGATCTCCTCGGTATACCCGGTATACCCAACCCAAGGAAAACTAGGAAGATGACGTAATTTTAGTCGGCTAATATAATTCCGCCTTGGATACTAAGGGAGTAACCGTGAACAGGTTTTCCTTAAACTTTGAGATATTACTCTCAGCTTTTCTCTGATGTAAGGGTTAGCTTTGCTTTGAAATAGATATCCGTCCCTGGAGGTTTCAGTGGAGCTGAACCGGAATCTGTGTCAAGCCCAGTTTTAGCTCCTAGACTTCTTGGCTCAACTTGTACAGATTTTTATTTCTTATTCAAACTGAGATCGCAGCCATAAGAAAAAATTAATAGAAAAGCTGAAGAGGGGGGGGGGGATATTTTTTAAGAAAAAGTAAGGATTGATTATTTACGTTGGTATCTCCATTATTTTTGTTCTAATCCTGACTTAAGATTTAATTCTTAACGGTGCTTTCGATTATTGTGCTATTGAGGCCTTTGGTCACATAGCTGCCATATTTTCTAACTAACCCATCGTCTTTTAATGGGTTAGACCTGATTTCGATTTCGAATGCAATGTTTTCTTGATCATAAAATAGTCAAATCTTTTGCCCAAACACCCTTTTCTAAAACTTAAAGAAGTTCTAAATATTTCAGAAAACGCTTTAGTTTTATCTAAACTTTAAGTTCTCGTTAACCGCTTATCACTCAGAAAATCTTTTGAAGGCTGAGCCCTTTCGTTTCCTCTCCCTGATTTATCCTGCCAGGCTCTCTACTACTCTAGCTTTAGCTCCTCCAGTCCTTAGCAACAGTTTTACAGTCATCCTGGAATTTGTATTAACTTGAAAACCAAAATATCTGTCAAAATACCAAAACTTAAATTAACTTCTTCTTGATGTAGTGTTAGGTATATTTGGAATTGAATTCGGTCTAATTTTGGGTTCAATTTAATCAATCAATCAAACTCACGTGATTTTCTCTGAAAAAAAACATTGGATACATCGGTACGGTTCAATAAGGGTAGGATGGATTATGAGTAGGGGGACAGTTTAGAAGACTTAAGAAAGGTGGTTTGAATAAGATAACGAAGGATTCATACGGAAAGACGGTAAATGAATTTTAAAGGACGGATAGGGAGGAATGAGTTTACATTAGTAGAAGGATAAGAAATTAAAATGTTAAGATAAAGAGTGCTATAGAAAGAATGCTACGAATACTACAGGAAAAAAAGTAAAGAACTTTAAAGAGGATAACGGTTGAGGTTACAGAGAAGATTGAGTAGATAGATTAAATGAGAGTATTCTGAACGAGCAGAAGTTTAATGTAGTTTGTAAAGGTTTTGATTGATCTTCTGACTTGGTAGAGTTCTAGGAATCGTTTATTGCCAGCTGAGCTAGACCAACTTTAATCTATTTTGCCACGTTTTCTTTCTAAATCCAATCTTAACACTATGACAGCTTGCTCTGTTAGTTAGTTTGCAAGAGTTAATAATCATGATGTCTACTTTGGAAAAAATTGTCAAATAAAAAAAATAACAAAACCAGAATAGATGATCCACTAGAGTTCTCTGAAAAAGAAGATCTAAAAATATTTTGCACTGATTTTTTAATTAATTTTTGCAACGATAACAAAGATTATGGATTTGCATTGAATATGAGACAAGGCTTATGTATTTATTCACCCAACAGTAGATTTTTTATTGTAAGATTATAAATCTAAATATTTTCAGAATCGGCTTCATGCGCATCATGCACCAATGGATTTTACCGGATCTGGAGGACGGATCGTTACAGATCCTCGTGAGGCTGCAGAGATAGCTCACATGGAGTCGAGGTTACGTCCCACACCTCGGTTCACCTGGTCCTCTTCTCCGTCCTCGGACATGAAGGAGGATTCTCCTCCAGTCCCAGGTCAAGCCTGGTTTAAACCCGGAGTGACGAGAGATCAGGCCAACAATGCTCTCCTACCACACAGAGCCTTGGACGGAGTTTTCTTGATCCGTGAATGCAGCAGAGGACAAGGAGGATATGTCATTTCTCTCACAACTCAGGGGAAGGTTGTTCATGCTCAAATAGTTCGGGTAAGTGAGTCATGCACATTTTATAGGGTTGTGGGGGAAGGGGGGTCCGGGGTAAAATTCAGAACCTTTGCTTCAGCCTGAAGGAAAACTGTATTTGAAAATACAAGTTTGAATTTTGTTTAAATATTTGTTCTTACAAAAATAGCTGGGAAGCACATGTTAAATCTGAACCTTGATTTAGTTTTACATTCCTACATAGCATGCAAGGGTTGAACTGGATTAAAAATCATTATAATCCTTAGCTCTCAGGAACCCCACACTCGTCCTGTCACGTGATTTTAGTGATACCAACAAATAGTACGTCGCAGTTTCGACTTCAAAGCGGTTATTAGCAGTTACACAATGGTAAATAACGTGAGCAGGCCCTGTAGGGTACCTGAAGTTTTATTTTGTTAACATTTGCTAAAATTTTAATTTTGTTATTCAGATAACACACGAGGGTAAATCTGCTTTCTCCCTGGATGGCGGGAAAACCAAGTTCCCAAACCTTGAACAGTTGGTTGAGTTTCATAAGATGAATATTGGATCCCTTCCTAATCTTCTGAGAGAGAAGCAGGTTCAGGTTTGCCCAACTGCTTCTCTCGTCAACCTTTCCTGACAAATCTTCTGGATTATCGCCACTGTATGAGATCGTTCACCGAACCAAAACTTTATAAAATTATCTTGTCAGACTTTGTATTATCCAACCCTATTGGATCTCAATCTTAAGATTATTCAGAAAACTGAAACCTTTTTATTTATTTCCCAACGTAAAATACTTTTGTTATACAAATATGTTATCTGTTATATATGCATTTGCATAGAGTACCCAGCTAAGCCTGTATTATAATGTGATGTACGTCTTTCTCCTGTTTAATGCAGAACTAATATTCTTTTTCTAAATTCATATCACTTATCTTATCCATCCATTTTATAACTTTTAAATTTCATCTAAAAGATTTTATTTGCTTATTCTCCACCTGCCTTTTATTTGCAATATCAATATTTTATACTATATGCATTGGTTACAAATGTAAGAATACTGCGTCCCTCATGTTATTTTGTAGGCAAAAATCTGATTGTTTTGCCTGCGCCCCTGTCCAACCATCCTCAAAACATTTCAAACAATTTTTGCATCTCCAATTAAAAGATTGCGCTTCGTTTCAGGAAAAGGTGCAAGTTATATGAAAAAATAAGCAAAGTGATAAATCATTTTATGAGTTCTGCGCAATGAGAAAACAAAATAATCAGTTTTCCTTGGATCTAACTCCTTAGGTCACGGAAAGTCTATTCATTACAAACGCTTGGATATGGTTCCAAGAACAATAAAATAAATGAAGATCTTATGTCCCATCCCCCCCCCCCCGCGAATTCATATAGTAGAGATATTTTTTTTCATTAACGTTAATTCTATTAACTGCCCCCCTGCTGAGCCGAGCTAAGAGGCTCGGCATCTAACAATTAATAATTCGTATTCCTTGTAATTAATGATATCTATCGATAGGTGCGGCATTCCAGCCTCACACCTGATACTCAATCATTTTGATTTTTACAACTGATTGTGGTATTAGCGCTTTCTTGCACAAACTATGAAAAGGATGCTTTATTTATCAATGCATATTCCTCTTATATCAAGCTTAAAACGAATGATGAAGACCAATAAAAAAGTAATCTGTATTCTTTACAATTGATACAATCAATTGATATTTATATATTTTATTCCTTTCTGTGTTAATGTCAACCGTTTTGCGAAGGCAATGTTTTATCTGTTTTTTTATATGAAATTGCTAATTTGTTACAAAAAATGTATTTTTATAGGTTGACAAATAAATATTTATCTGTAAGCTTGTAATTAATTCAAAAGGTGTCGACTATGGCTAAGGTTGGATTGATCAAGATTGGTTGAATTCTTAATAACTTGGTTTTTATTGGTTTGCGAATTATAAAATAATCAATTAAAACTGAATTGTGACGTAAAAAACTATTTTGGTAAACCCCGTCTTAATTCTGTGATAGATCTTTACTATACTGTATAACTGTGTACAGGGTTAACCACAAATGTTGATACTTCAAGGAAAGCCAAACTATTAAAATAAAATAAAAGGACTGCGGATGGTTCCATTTTGATTTCTCTAATTGTTACGTAAATAATTTCTTTTTTCTTAGTAATGAATTAGTCAAGAAAGGATCAAATTTTCAGCAGTATGAAACTGTAAATGAAATGAAAATGTTGGAACAAATTCTGGATTATAGTCGTCTCTGTGTAACTCTGTATATAAAAGTATTTACATACTTAATATATAACCCTAGAAATAACGGTTAAAAATCATGCCTGGACGTCTTTACTCCTTTATTGNACGCGGAAAGTTTAGTAATTTAGATTATACAGGGTGTCCATGCATCATATTAGATCGTGTCTAGCTCAAAATTGTGATTTTAGGGACTTATCAGAAAATTTATAAACAATGAATCATTCTTAAAAAATGTAAAAGGTTTTAATAAAAGTTTTCTTTAAGAAAATACTAGGTTTTTCGAGTATTATATGCGTACTTTGGCGTTAAAGCTTGGAGATAATCCAATATGATATGGGACGCTCTGTATATCATTCAGTTTTATGTGCATTATTATGTTTAACAAGTGGAGAGAGGTGAGTCACTGAACACTTTACCCTGGAGCCTTACCACGAAAAGCAGAGTAATACTAATTAGTGAAATATGTTCTACAACTAACCAGGACTAGTCTAGTCCATTCATTAGTATTTAGGACTAGTCAGTTCTCACTTTAGAATTTGACCAGGACTAGTCCGTTCTCTCTTTAGTATTTTACCTGGTCTAGTCCGTTCTCTCTTTAGTATTTTAACTGGTCTAGTCCGTTCTCACTTTAGTATTTAACCAGGACTAGTCCGTTATCTCTTTAGTATTTTACCTGGTAGTCCGTTCTCTCTCAGGTATTTTACCTGGTCTAGTCCGTTCTCTCTTTAGTATTTTACCAGGACTAGTCCGTTCTCTCTTTAGTATTTTACCAGTACTAGTCCGTTCTCTCTTTAGTATTTTACCTGGTCTAGTCCGTTCTCTCTTTAGTATTTTGCCTGGTCTAGTCCGTTCTCTCTTAAGTATTTTACCAAGACTAGTCCGTTCTCTCTTTAGTATATTACCTGGTCCAGTCCGTTCTCTCTTTAGTATTTTACCAGGACTAGTCCGTTCTCTCTTTAGTATTTTACCTGGTCTAGTCCGTTCTCTCCTTAGTACTTGACCAGGACTAGTTCGTTCTCTCTTTAGTATTTGACTAGGACAAGTCCTGGTATCCTTTAAAATTTTAACAAGACTAGTTCTTATTCTCTTTATTCTTTAATATTTTAACAAGACTAGTTCTTATTCTCTTTATCCTTTAATATTTTAACAAGACTAGTTCTAATTCTCTTTATCCTTTAATGTTTTAACAAGACTAGTTCTTATTCTCTTTAGTCTTTAATATTTTAACAAGACTAGTTCGTATTCTCTTTATCCTTTAATACTTTAACAAGACTAGTTCTTATTCTCTTTATCCTTT